TGGTGTGGAATACGAAGCATACTGGATTGCCCAGTACGTTTACGTCAAGGGTGCGTCCAAGGAACTCGTCAACCAGTTGGCCGCCCTCCGCAACGTGGTGAGCGTGGCCCCTGTGGAAGTGTACAAACTGCCTGAACTCGTCGAAGTGCCCGCCGACCTCAGCGTCCAAAACTCGACCGTGGAATGGGGTATCAACATTGTCGACGCGCCCAAGGCGTGGGCTCGCGGCAACAAGGGCAAGGGCTCCGTAGTGGCTTCCATCGACTCGGGTGTCCGCCTCACCCACGAAACGTTGCAAGCCAACTTCCGCTCGGCCAACGGCTGGTACGAACCCTCCACCAAGTCCAAGCTCCCCAACGATCGCCACGGACACGGCACCCACGTCACCGGCACCATTGCCGGCCTCAACGGCATCGGTGTAGCCCCCGAAGCCAAGTGGATCGCGTGCGCCGGATGCCCCGCCGGCGCGTGCTCCCAAACCGACTTGTTGGCGTGCGCCCAGTACGTCACATGCCCCACCGACACGGACGGCAACAACCCCGACTGCAAGCTCGCCCCCCACGTGGTCAACAACTCGTGGGGCGCCAACGGAAACGGCAACACGTGGTACGAAGCTGCCATCCTCGCGTGGCGCAAGGCGGGTATCATCCCCGTCTTTTCCAACGGTAACAACGGTCCCGGCTGTGGCACCGTCGGCTCCCCCGGTGACTCCCCGTCCGTGATCGGTGTGGGCGCCACGGACAGCGACGACGCCTTGGCCAGCCTAAGTTCCAAGGGCCCGGAACCCCTCCAGAAGCGCATCAAGCCGGATGTGTCTGCCCCTGGCAAGTCCGTCCGCTCGGCTGGCTCGGCCTCCGACACTGCCTACACCACCTACTCGGGGACCTCCATGGCTGCTCCCCACGTTTCTGGCGCCGTTGCTTTGATTGTTAACGCCAACCCTGGTGCCACCTACGAAACCGTGTACAAGTTGCTCGCCAACACCGTTGACACGGCCACGTTGAAGCCCTCGCCTGCCAACTGCGGTGGTGTGGACAACTCCAAGTACCCCAACAACGACTTCGGGTACGGCCGCATCAACGCCAACAAGGCGTCGTCGACCTCGTCCACCCCTGTGCCTTCCACCACCAAGCCCGCGTGCTAAATGCTGTGTAGTGTGTGCTACCAACTCTTTGTAAAAATTCAATACGTTGTCTGTTTAACAGTAAATCGCGCCAGCTTTTTGCTTGACACTGACGACTAACGTGATCACGGCTGTGGCAACATACTCATTATTCACGAATGTCACTATACTTCGTTCAATTCATCACGTGAAGCAGACGCACGAAGTTTGTAGTGCTGTACTGTACTAGTACTGTACTGTACGATTAGTGATCATGAGGCGAAACTTGGGTAATCGCCAACATGTGAGTATCTGAGCAATACACTCGTGCGTTAGTTTGACCCATTGCAAACCCACACACTCTGTGTGTGTGGCGTGTCAAGGTTCCGATACCTTAGTGGAGGTACTGAGTACTTTAGTGAATGGTAGTCAGTAGGCGCCTCGTGGCGTGTTTAACCTCACTAATGTCTGTTATATTTGCTACCTTCACGAAGGTCCCGTGGCCGAAAGCCAAGAAGAAGCGGGAGACAAAACAAAGATATATTTACTAATTGTTGAGCTATTCACTGGAGATGATACGCGAACATTCCTCCGACAAGGAAACGCCAACGAACACCAAAGAACGATCGCGGTCGCGTGACCGGATCGAGGAGCCGAGAGGACGCGCCGCTCGGCGCACCGTGGAGAATCCGTTCAGATATCCCCGACGACGATAGCCACCTGCTATCGACGAGTGGCAACCGCCACGTGGTGGGTTTTACACCCCTGCCACAACACGAGGAACACCAGCTGTCGCAGCGTTTGTCTCAGCTGCTGCTCCTCCAACGACTAAAGCAGATGGCATTTCAGTGCCGCTGCCAGCCGACAACGACCCGTCGGACGTCCGTGACGATAAGGGCATGAGAAGCGACCCGTCGGACGTCCGTGACGATAAGGGCATGAGAAGCGATGGCGGTTACGGCCGTACGGCGCCGCAAGTTTGGAACGCGCCGGCGCTCCCACAGCCGCCGACATTTTCAGGCTCGACCAAGGCCGAAAGACGCGCTATTATGCGCGAGTACAAGAAGTATCTGGGGCAGATTAACGCTCTGCAGTGTAATGGATCGCGTCCGTTCGCGATGCTTGTGAGTGCCTGCATGGAACCGTTCTCGAAACGCCGGATCGCGCTGTTCGACTTCAACCGCGACCACCATTCCATCACGAACGATGAGTGGGTCGCGTGGTTCAAGTCACCGTTTGAGGAAGACCCTCAAGATCTGGACCAAACCTTTTCAGGAAGCGCCATGCTGATCAAAAGATGTATTGTGCTTTTCACATATTTTGTCTAATCTGGGTATAAATTCCCGCTTTTAACCAGTGGGTGACGAAGTTTTTGATTAATTCAACTTAGTTCTAGCTAATCGGAAGTACCTATGATTGGATGAGCAAGAGCTGTTCCTGCGGCATATGTTGCTAACCTGAAGCGTTTGCCCATTTCATTTCGGCAAACGCGGGGGTTTACAGAGTGGATTAACTAATACACGCGAGTGTGATTCTTGACTATGCTCGATAAAGGTTGATGTTGAGTGCTTCTTGCTCGACTTTTCGTGCCAACGAGTTGCTAACAAGCTGGCTGCAAAGCTCGTGTGAGCTGGTGCACTGCGAGCTTACCCCAGTAGTAG